TAACACTGGTGGCTTCAAAATACTCCACAGCACACCAGGTCCCGCTGTAAGCCTCGGGTAGTCCTGCACCCACCCGAAACTCTTCTCCTGTATATACATCCCATGACCAGCCTCCAAGGCTCACTTTTATATCGGTTGTGGCTCCAGCCTGTTATTTCGTTCCAAAAGGTAGGTAACGTTAGATAGTAAGTGTATCACTATAAAGGTATGCATACCAGCCAATGAGTCTTTACCTAGCACGAGGCCTTTTGGAAGCTCACTGGCTTCAGGTTCTATGGGAACTCCAAAGTTAAGCGAGTAGCGCGCGAGAGCATTCCCAGGATGGGTGACCCATCGGGAAGTTCTCGTGTGAGTTCCCAAAAACAAAACCGTGAGGGTGTGGTTGGGGCCCAAAGCGGACAATATCGTGCTACGGTAGTGGAGCGGGCCCGGGAAATCGTCCCGCCCGGGCCGGGATGTGACATAAAGTTTATTGTTAATATATCCTAAAAATAGATGTATATATCAATTATGTTGTACATTTGTAACACGTAAAAATGTTACATTACCACTTGTATTCCCGTTTCTTATAAAAAAATCTCGCATGTGAGTGGGGGTTCTAACGATCACGTAAGTATATCTATTAATTGCATGTGGTCATAAACGTTAATTATATGTAGCAATATCAAATTACTAAATTAGTGTTAAGATAAAAAGGGCAAAAGAGATTGATACGATCATGATTAATCAAGCTAAACATGCCAAACTGGATATCTTTTTGGAAACTAACTGGATATTCTTTTTTTGGATCGACTCCATCGTAGCACGATATTGTTCGCTTTAAGCCCTGATCACGTCCTCACGGTTTTGTTTCTGGGAACTCACACGAGAACTTCCCAGTGGATCACCCATCCTGAGAATGCGCTCGCTCGAACTTGTTTAAGTTCGGAGTTCCGATGGAACCCAAAGCAGTGAGTTCCCAAAATGCCTCGTGCTAGATAGAGATGAAAATATACATATAAAGCTTACCGGATCCACTTCCCTAGACGATGTGGAATGTTACATTTGATATATTAAATTTTAAACATAAAATAAAAATTTATATTTATTTTCTTTGATTGGAAATAAAAGAAAATAAACTAAAATGTATAAAAATATTTAAAAATTGCTTTGATAATGAAAGGAAATGAAAAGGTAATGCTTTAAATAAAAAATAATAATATAAACATTTAATAATTAATTAAAAATTATTTGAAACTGCTGTCAAAATTTGACAACAGTCATCTTTACTACAATTCCACGTCATGCCATGTTTTTAATTACTTTCTTCATTAATTAGTCATCACTTTCGATAGCAATGACTTAATCTTCTTCTCAATTATTTTATTCATGACTTTTGATATCAATGACTGAATTTTCTTTATCACGACCAGTGACTGCTGTACAAAAACCATTAAAACAAGTCACAACGTAATTTCATATGAGATCAAGAGAAAGAAAATTCAAATATCCCAGTAAATATAATACATTCACAGTATAATGTTAACAATGAGCGTTGTCGTATATCTTATCACTATTCGCCTTCACATAATGAATCTGGATGTAAGTTAAAAAGAAAAAGAGAGAATGCAGAAAATACAAACCAAATAGGATGATAAATTAAATGTTTTACCTGGGAGCATGTGACGAAATCTGATTGACCTTCACATAATCAGATTGGCCTTCACATAACGACCTTCAAATAACGACAGACGTGAGAAATATTATGGACTCGAATATTATGATTTGGTGGAAAGAGCGGGAGGGAATAGAAGCTAAAATTACTTTATTCATTAATTAGTCATCACTCTGGATATCAATGACTGAATCTTATTCTCTATTATCTTCTTCATGACTTTTGATATCAATGACTGAATAGAAAATACAAACCAAATAGGATGATAAATTAAATGTTTTAGCTGGGAGAAAGTGATGAAATCTGATTGGCCATCACATAAGCAGATTGGCGACCTTCAAATAACGACAGACGTCGGAAATACATAATCAGATGGGCGCGCGGCCTTCAAATAACGACAGACAGGAGACGCGAGAAATACATAATCAGATTGGCGACCTTCAAATAACGACAGACGGGAGAAATATTGACTCGAATATTGTGATTTGGTGGAAAGAGAGGGAGGGAATAGAAGCTAAAATTCTGGACGCGTTTTTGCGTTAGGCCATGCTCAGTCGGTAGCTAAAACTTTACATATGAGAAATTACACTGCTTGTACGTTAAATACATATTTTTAAACAAGGGTGGGCTGTGTTTGTAGGATATTGAGGGGTTGTTTGGGGTGTATGTTTGCTCCCACCACATTCGTATACTTACTATACATTTAACTATTTGGTACGAGACATTTCACTTAATTCTAGTTAACTTTTACATTAAATGTTACTTTTTTAATTTTGATAAAAAATTAACCAAGGTTAACTAAAATGACATAAATATCATATGATTAGGTGCAAAATTTAGGGTGGTGAGGAAAAATGCTTCTGGTTGTTTGTGAATTATTTGTGACAAAGGAAGTTCTAGTCTTTGTATTGGAGATGGGAATGCTACACTTACCATTATTTATATCATCTCTATGGACAAGATAAGACCCGTCAACGCATGTGAGTCTCATTTCTATTAGAGAGATAATACAAATAGATGGTAAGAATAACATTTTTAGACTGAAATCACAAATTATTTTATTTTCCAAATTTTAAATTTTGAGCATGATTTCGTCACCACCACGTGTCCAAGACTTCAAGTGGATTATGGAGTTCACTTGCAATTTCGCCTCCTGAGTATTTTACCGTCTAGGATTTGGTTGTGGGTTGGTTAGTTTATGATGTTGTGATTGTTCAAATACAGCATGTTTTTCACTGATTTTCATTGCATTAAACATTTCACTAAACTAGTCTAGATTAATCTTTTTTAAACTAGTCCAGTTTAGTTTTTAAAACTAATTTAATATGAGATAATTCGATGTAACAAACGCACCCTTACTGTGCCTTATAGATTTTTTTTTTTTCCTTCATACGCAGGCAGGGTGAGGGAGGCACATTTATATGAAAATGCAGTAGGCTTGCATTTAGGTGAAAATGAAAAGGCGCAGGAAAGACCTATTTGATCTTCTCACACTGTCAATTGAAGGATGTGACCTTCTATACGCACACTTAGAACAACGCTCAATGGATTCTATATTCTCTATATATATATATATATATATATATCCCACGTTGGATGAAATTTATAAATCATATACTCCTAAACAGTTTCTTATTTATTCTCTTTTTTATCCATCTTAATTATACAATTTCTTTCTGATTATTTCTAAGAGAAGCTGATCGAAGATTTCAAATTTTATTGTATCTTGGAAATGATTTACTAAAAACCTTTTATCAAACTTGTTCGAGTGACGGCAAATAACATTTTAAAGAAATGACTAAAGTCGGACCTCAAACCAACTTTCAAATTATTCTTTATAATTTTACATTTACGTAAACAATTATTCCGTCCTACTCACGTGTCCAACTTTAACATTCTCAACCTCCATTTGCTTATTCACGTTGTATGAAAGAATTTTTCCTTTCTCACAAACACCCCATGCGCTTACCCTACGGAAATCTTTTAAGAGCCAAGTGGCATCGACCACGGTGGCACTACACAAATGCAAGAACAGACAATATATGAAAGTAAGCATCACAGATTTTTACACGAGTCCACGTCCGGACAAAATCTTTCGGGTATAAAACCCCACGCCTACACAACTCAATCCCTCATTCCTCATTCTCTCCTTCTTCTCCCAGTGGTAACCACCTCAACTCTCATTTCTCATTCTCTCCTCCTTCTCCCAGCTGCCACCACCGCTATGGCAGACGTTGAAAATCAAAACCCTCTTCGAAATCCACCTCCATATCCGCAACGACATCTAACGGAGACTCTGACCATCCTCTTGGGCTTAGCTGCCCTTGTGATTGCCCTCGGGGTGAATCCGAGCCAGTTTGTCAAACCTCCCTCTGCCGATACGGCTACTTGCGAGTGCAAACCGAATAACTGCCCATGCCTTCCCCCTTCCTATATTCTCTCTGTCATGGTTACGGCAGCTCTCTCTGTTGTTTGGTTTGGACTTTTTGTCCTCTCAGACCAACTTCCATACCGCTTTGTTATCTGGGGAGCGCTTGGCTTAGTGTGGGCTATCTACTGGATTATTCTGCATGGCGTCTTTGCACCCCAATTTTATAATCCAATGGTTTATTCCTTCAATCCTATTATGGCGGTCATGTTGTTGGTTAACCTAAGATTTCGAAATGTCTGGGAGCGTGCGATCCAAGTCCTAGCTGACAACTGCGGATTTTGGAACTATATCACGGGAAACTACTAATATTTGGGTAATGTATCTGCTCATACTTTTTTTACTGAAAATACTGGCAGATGAGCACACACTCTGTGTGTGTGAACAATTTGATTCGATTTTTTGTTTTTGATTAACGAGTGAGATTAGTTTTTAAATTTTTTTAAAAGAGTATGAGATAATGATGATGAGACAGTTTCTCTTAATAAGTGCATATTTTTTCTTAATATTACATGAGTATTGTTTTGTCCTCCTTATGTAAATATTGTGTATCAAAAAATGAGGATAAAATAGGAAAAATAGGTAGTAATGAGGATATGAAAAATATTGTGTATCAATGTGCACAAAACCAATGGGGAATCACTTCTAACACCAGTAACAGATAGTACAGGAACAAAAAGCCCAAGTAGGAATGAGTTGCAAAACTTTTGTGTACATATCTGACACTTCTGTTACAGTCCAGCTAAGGTTATGAATGATGTATAAAATTTTAAGATTTAAGTTGGTACGCAATATTAAGACTCAAACAATTTGTAAAAGAATAAGTGTGTAGGAATTGCGTTATCAAAAATAAATTCTAGAAGGGTATATTTATATGAGTTAAGGAGAAGACCTTTTATAATAGAATCATTATTAGACCTGGAGATCCCAAAGAATATCTACAAAGTAGATATTGCGTGGTGTGATTACTTGTAGGGCACGTCAATTCTTATCATCGTCAATAATGTTAAATGTATCTCCAACAAATTAGTGAGTTAAGTCATTTTCTACTCAATAATTCCCCACAAATTATTGATCCATGCGTCAAATTTAGTTTTATGAACCGTGGCTAGTAATTTAGAAGAAAAATGACTTTAGTCAAATCTTTATTTTCTCTACTATCTCTTGTGAGGATGTAATGAAATTCTCACATTAAAAGTTTATTTTAAATTGTATGTGCTTATAACAAGTTGGGTAATTTTATGTTTGGTCGAAAGGAGAGGGAGGGAATACAAACAAATGTTTTAGATGCGTCCAATTGTGTCGGGCATGCTGAGTTGGCAGCTGGCATGCATACCTGGTTATCTGCAGTAACAACATGCTTATTCTCTTTAATGGAAAATTTTGATCTCTTTTGCATTACCCTATTACTTTAATCGTGGTTCTGTAAATTCAGATGATCCAATACTCATAGTATTTACTACTACGCAATATGGAAGTTGAAGCAAAAAAAAAAAAAAAAAAAAAAACAAACAAACAAACAAATGGGTTGTGTTTTCTTAAAGTCTTGGGCACGTGGTCGCTTAGTAATATTGTATAGTATGTATTCTTTTTTACTTGCAAGTGAGATGTTTTAGGTTCAATTAAATCACTGTTTGAGTAAATGTAGAAATATAGAGAATAATCTTAAAGATGACTTTTAGATATGAGTAAGTCGTTTCCTTAAAGTTTTAGTTGCCCCCACTCCAACAAGTTTGCTAAAGGGTTCTTGGCAAGTCATAACAAAGTTTGGAGCCTACGAACAACAAAATTCAAAGCATTCCTTTAGAAATAACTAAAAAAATATTGTAGAATTAAGATGTATAGAAAGAGAATAAGTAAGAAATTGTAAAGGAGTGCATGATTTATAAATTGCAGCCAACGGGGACCCGAAGACATGTTTGAAGTATGCCTATAAAAAAGTCACGTCCCTCAGTTGAAAGTGTGTGAAGATGAAATAGGTCTTTCCTGCATCCTTCCATTTCCGCAGAATAGATGCAAAGCATACTGCCTTTTCGTATACGTGCCTCTTGCCATAAATCATGACTTTATGATCCAACATACCATGAAATTAAATTTTCAATTCTCAATAACTGAAAATTATTGAGAATTCTAATTAATCAACTCAAATTCTCAATAATTGATTTTTTTTTTTCTCATTAACTTTCTCATATTCCATGAAATTAATTTTTCTGAAAATTTCTTAAAATCCTAGCTAAATACAGCCCCCCTTAATTAGAATGATAGGCAGAATCATTAATGTTTGCATTTTAAAACTTGCGTGGAACATCTACTACTGCAATGGTTTAAAAAGTTCACTAAAGAAAATAAATATGAATCTATGATACTAAATTATTTAGCAAACTTTGTAAAGAGAAGAAATATAATACTAAATTATTTAGTATTTGCCAAAACGACAAAAGAATAAACAGTTGAAAAGGCAAACTTTCTAAGGAAAATGCAACCATAAAAGATGCTAACGCTGATTGGCTGCCTGATTGCTTTCGTCGTTGGTCAAGATTGTATTTGCCAAAACGACAAAAGAATAAACAAGTGAAAAGGTTAGTTAACTTCAACTGCAAATGTTTTTCACATAGGAATGAATTGGATCAAAATTCAAATTACCTGAATACAAACATTGAATCATAAGCAAACTACACAGAAATTATATTCATTTGTGTTAGAAAAGCCTGTAAAAACATATGTTCATGTACTTTTCATAGAAACTTATCTACCAAAATTGTAGAGAAATAGTCCAAACAAGAAGAATATAGTAATAAATTTTAGTGTTAAGGACAGAACACAATAACAATTTATAATAAAATATAAAACTATGGAAGTTGAACCCAAAAAAACCAAGAAAATGGGTTGTGTTTTCTTAAAATCATGCTCAAAATTTAAAATTTGGAATATAAAATAATTTGTGTTTCTAGTCTCCCAATTTTCAACAACATAGACTGAAACTCCCTAAAATATGCTTTGTCACAAATACTTTAACAATTCCACAGCAAGTGGCGGAGCCAAGATTTACGTGAGGAGGGACCTCACTTAAATGTCAAAAAAATAAAATAAATAGATAGTATTTACAAATTATAAGAGAGTAGAATATATGCTTAGAGTTCTAAGCTAATTAAATATTTTAAGACATTAAATGCTCTTTTTCATGATGAAATTAACCTTCCACGTTGTTGCTCACCTAAGGTCCTTATTTTGAGGACCTGTGAGGTCCACTTTTATACGAGTCAATAAATTGATCTAATGGTAATCTATAAGCTTTTATTATCCTTGTTATGCTTAAACAAAATTATGTACAGCAAACAGATTAAACAAAAAAATAAAAAGAAAAAAGAAAAGAAGAGGGGTTTACGTGTGAGAAAAGAAACCCATCACATTCCTTTTGGCTATTTAAATTAGAAGAGGCACAACAGTCGGTCCAAATGGATTGCAAAATATGGGACTGCCTCCAAACAAATTTAGGGCATCTGATGGCCGTGCGCAATCCGAGGAGAGACCTGTCCGCCACCTAAAGAGATTTCACGCGTGAATCGTTTTTTTCCCTTTTCCCTTTTTTTTTTTTTTTTTTCTTTCAGGTTGTGGGATATTTTTTTTATGCGTAACCACAAAATCAATCTAAGGGCTTGTGTGAAAGAAGACCACATGTCCTCAAAATGAGGACCTTAAGGTTTCGTTTGGCAGCTCAGACTGTACTGACTATTTCAGTTGGATATGATAAATAGTCATCTGATAGTACTGACTAAATTAGTCAAGCATTTGGTACAACATCAGACTAATGACCGTATTAAGAGGTCGGCCTATATATATATATATATATATATATTTCTTAATTACTTGTTAATAGTATTTTTTGAATAAGTCAAATTAAAAAAATCACAAATGTGTTTTTAAAATAACAATTCACAAAAATAAAAAAAAAAAACCAAAAGCAAAAGAAATCAAAGACAGACAAACGGGAAGAAGAAATGCTCATAGTTTTGGGAATTGGGATCCTTTTGAAACCCCTACTAACACGACGTGCTTAGAGATTTGGAAATTAAAATAGAATAGAAATATTCTTGTAAATTATTGAGAATAACAGATCCATCAAATAGAAAAATCACAAACTGGAGGATACAAGACAATAAGGCATGGAGAGAAAAAGCGAAAAATAAAAGAAAAAATCGAAAATTGCAGGAGGAGGAAGACGATGAAGATGAAACGCATCAAATCCCACCCTCTTCCCACTAATTGCAAATGCGTGTTATGCAATCCAACAAGGGTTTTGAACTTCCAAAAAAAATTGAAAGAAAACAAAAAAAGAGAACTGGGTAGGGCATGGGGAAGATGTGAAAAGACGAAGGGAGAGAATCCGACTAATTATCCTTGCCTTTTGGGGTGTATTAGTTAGAAGGTGTGTACTGGATAAAACAAGTGGGCCTGGATTATTAGTCAAGTAGCTATTTAGTACAAAGGTGCACCAAACAACTTACTTCGTACTATTTATCCTATCCGATACTTTATACGGCGTGCCAAACGAGGTCTAAGTGAGCAACATTGTAACCTTCCAATAATATCAAGTCAAGACTCAATATATAGAGTAATTTGTAAAAAATTAATGAGGATTAAGAGAAATTAACCTTTCAATATCAAGTCAATGAAAAATGCTAGTGAGACCATATGTTTAGACTATATTTTGCAAAGCACATAATGTGGCGATTGATTATTGAATTCTTTTTTTAATGTTTTAAAGAAGTAGTCTAATCAATAACTGCCACATCATTTGTTCTCAAAATATGGTTCAAATAGATAGTCTCTCTAGCATCAATTCAAGTCAATATAGAATGAATTGGGAAATTTCGGAAAAAAAAAAAAAAAAAAAAAAACAAGAAGGGTGGAATGGGAATTTGGAGAACAAAATCTATGAAATTTTAAAAATTTAGTACAATGTTAAAAGAGAACAAAGGTGGGCTCTTGGCTTCCGACAAGCAGTTGTAAACATATCTAACCGTATAAGTGATGAGAAATTTTACTCTTTCAGTTATTAAAGTTGAAGGACCATTAACACATAGTGTATCCTTGGTCCATTAACACGGTTAAATATCTGGTACATCATGTATTATTATATAAGTGATAAGAAGTTTTACTTTTTAAGTAGTTAATTTTTTAACATACATATCTAACTGTTTGTATAATGACATGTGTTATAATACTCGTTTTACGGGCAGATTAAAAGATCTCTCCGTTACAGGAGTCATAATCAAAGCATCTGAACTTTTCTTTCGTAACTGATTTGTACTATTATTACTTTTATATACAGATCAGATTAATCATAACCTTCTGATTCAAACCAATGGGCGTATAACATAGTTGTGCTTGTTCAATTCAAGAGACACGTTACTTAGATTAAAAACCAATCTCCACTTTCTACACACACTACACCATTGTATCTTATATATAATATATTATAATTAGTATTTTATGATATATATATTATTGAAATACACCAACGATCACGCTCAAAATTTAAAATTTAGAAAAGAAAATAATATATGTGTTTTTGTCCATTGATTAGGTTCTTCCTTAGATTGCCGTTTTGAGAGTCGACCCCCTTAGGAATTTTCTTGTTACTTTCTGCGTTATTTTCACACCTTAGTCCCCATCTTGCAGTCCCTTTCCCTTAATTCCTGCCCTTCCATATTTCCATCACCAACCATCTTGTAGTCCATTTCATTCATTTTCTTCCCTTCCATGCATCTTCCTTCTCCTTTTACCAAGGTTTGACCCATGCATGTTTTGTATGCTTTCAGCCCTAGCTTTTGAGTTCCCTTTTTCAACATATATTGACTAGGAATCTGCAAGGTGTCCATTATGGATAGGAAAAATATCTTTCCATTTCTTAATCAATAAGATTACACTTTGATGCTTACATATACACAAGCAAATATACCCTTTGTGGAATGACAGCTGATGTAACTAATTACA